CCCCCCCGCACGTAAAGAAGAGGGAGTGAGATATATATACATAGAGAGATATCTCGCTATATATATATATATATATATATATATATATATACTGCGACAGTCTCTTTCAAGAAGATCAAACATATAAAAAATACCTAACATGACAGGTTTTCTACATAAATTTCCAGCCATATATAAGTATACATATAATACAGCTCTGGTCTCATAACGATTGGTGAAAAAAACTCCGAGAATTTCAAGGGCAAAGGTCAATAACAATTATTAAATAAAATCACAACGTGAGAAAGAAAAAAAAAGCCCAAATCAAAGCAACGCTGAATAAATCTATCTCAAATAGCATTCAGACTTAACAACATAATACAAAAAAAAAACCTTAAGATCCACAGATCTGTAAATATTTCAAAATCCGATCCAGAAGCATAAGACTTGAGCTCGGATCGAACAAACACTCAGCAATCAAAAACAATTATCATCAACAAATAAGATTACGATTTCGAAAAGAAAAGAATAAGCGCAGCGATTGTCAGAAGAGGTTGTACCTTTTAGCGTTGGATGATAAACGGGGAGAGGGAGAGAGAGAGAGAGGAGAAGGTACCCGTAGGGCAAACTCACCGCCTTTAGTTTATTATTTTTATTTATATAATTGATATAATTAAATTATTTTTTCTACCAACCTAATGATGCCAAATAGGATAAAAGCATTGTATTCAACCACCGTTCTCAAGATAACTAATCGCAAGATCAGGCGTCTGATGGGTCAAATTTTAGGGAAAATATTTAACTGAAAACAGCGATATTTTTCACATAATACGCAATGGAAACGGAGATATCAATTTTATTTTTCTAATTAAAGTTATCAATGAAAATGTAACAGAAAAATAATATTTTTCATGAAAGCAAAAGAAATATGTTTTGTCGGTATAAGAAAACAAATTGGGCTTTCTCATATATTTTTTTTAAAAATTTCTTTTGTGGCAACCCTTATTCATATTTGAAAGGCATTACGCAAAAGAACAGCTTTATTTGCAAAGGACTATATATATGATTCAATTGTTCTAAAATCTCATCTCAAAGTTTCAAACTATACTTCACCGTGGTCTAGCCCAGTTGAAAGGACATTATCACACCCTGACGGTGCGTGTGAGCTTCCCCCACTATCGCTTTCTTTGTATAAGGAAAACAAAAACCCCCCTTGAGGAATTCTTTGTGTGCATATGAATAAGTTCGGTCCATTCAAACTTTTATTACAAAAATAAGAATTTCTATCCAGGGCATGATTGCATACTCCAGCTTTTGAAAAGTACGAAAACTATGAAATAGTGAAAGAGGAGAGTTGATAGCTCATTCTTCCGATGGCCTTTGCCCCAAAACTGAAATGTCTTCGTATCGTTTCTGCATTAAAAAGGAAAACATTCAATTCAGACGTTCGATATTGGGATTTTGTTTTTTTAGAAAACCAGTTACTACCAAAGAAAGAATCTCAATGCATAGAAGGTGTGTGCAATACAATATACATGTCTAGGACATGGAAAGCAAATCCAACCCCATCTCAATTATAATTAGACTCATAAGAATCCGATTAACATCCAAACACGCATATGACCTTATAATATGCAGCACCTCCGGCCATGGGCAAAAGTTTGTCTTCGAAGAAAAACCCACATGCACTAAAAGTAGGTAGGATATGTAAATGCATTACAAATATCTGAATCAAATTAACACAAAGATACATGCAAACAAATAATTCTTCAATCCCCCATATTTGGATTCATCAAGCACATATTTGTGCAATAAGGAAATGTATAACATACTAAAACTGAGTACAAAATGTAATAGTTATCATACCCCAACATTGTTGTACTCCCACAACTTATGAACTCCATAATCCACGGCCTGAAACCAGCAAATGAAATGAAATTAAATACATCAGAGCTTCTGATATTTGTTCTTCGTTCGGAGAGGAAGAGAAGAAACCAAATGAAAATTAAAAGCAAACAATTCAAAACAAATTGAAAAGGGGGAAAAAATTGATAAAGGGCAATGCATCAGTCCTTCTAAATCATAAAATGGGCCAAAAACTCTAAGTTCTTCTCGGTCTCGGTATATAGCCTAGATTACATTTCTATAATTCCACAATGTATGACCCTCAACTTAATTGAGTTCAGAAATCAAACGTCTACGAGTATTGCATATAACTTGGGAACCAAAACAACATTAAAAACAAATATATTTTTGAGTATTAGCTTAAATTTATGCCTCTCACAGCAAGCAAGCATTTGATTAAGATATGAAACCATTGAAACCCTAAATCACAAGAAACAACATCAAGTTTCATCTATTTTTCACTAACATAGCAATAATCACTCCTTTTAATGACAAGGCCAGTTTAGGTTCAAAAAATCCATAGACCTAATTATAATTTCTGTGCTCGCAACTACACCAAAATGACCAAATCGCAAATCTAAGCAAATTTCATTTCCTTAGACTTTCTTAGCAAACAAACAGCTAATGACCAAAATAAAGATAACAGAAGACGAAAAACTAAAACGTCAGAACCAGTGAAGTAACCCTAATCTAAGTTCTGAGCCTCACCCGCTCACCGAGGAAAGCGCCGGCGATGACGAATGTGACGTAGACGGAGTTACGGCGCATAATGACCCTGTAAAGCCCTTCGAATACGCCTCCACTGGTTCGTCGAGCTGCTGAATCCATGGTGAAATGCGCGAATCTCTTCTACTTGCTGCTGATCTGTGTGCTAGGGTTTGCTCAGAGCTCGGAATGACAACCTATCCAGCAAAATCAAAGACAACAATTACGGATAAAATCAACTAATAAAATTGAAAAGAAAAAAGCAGAGCGATTCTTCTTAGGGAAGATCATACCTTTTCCGATTGGATGAGGAACACGTAGAGGCAGAGAACCCAACAGAAATGGCTCTGGTTTGCGTTAATGCGGAGAGGGAGTGGAGAAAGTACGCAAAATTGCTTGTTTTCATATTTTAATTTAAATTGCGCATTTTTTTTTCGCTTTGGCGAGGACTTGTGTTTTGTCCCCCATAATTTTGCTTGATATTATGAATTCCACCAATGATAAAAGATTAATTTTGAATTCCAAACCATTTGCTATGGATTTCGATGAAAGAAGATTAATCTGCTATGATGAAATAAATAGAGTATCCAATAAAATTGAAATTGCAATAACCATAATCGAATTGTTAAACTTTCTTTTCTCGGAATATTCGAACACATAACCTCGAATTTAGAGTGATAATGCACCCCAATAAGTCACAAATTGTAAATACCGTAATAAAAATACAAGGCACAAAATCTAATTTGTTAAAAATAAATAAGACTCGTTTGAAAAATTAAGTACAAAACAAATAATAACCCAGGGTCATATCATTTGGTATGCAAAATTTTAGGATTTCATTTATTGTCTACTTGTTTAATTGCTCATCACTCATGGCATAGGAGAAAACTGTGAAAGAACAGAACTTGAAGGGAAAATGGGAACCTTTTAAAGCTCAAATCTGATTCTTATGTGCCATAAAATTATCAAACAAATGTACCACATTCTTTTAACAATAGAAGTAAATGAGAAACGAATCCAAGAGAATGCCAAGACTGCAGTATTATGCGTCTCTTATTGCTGCATTCGACCATCTCAACCAGAGGCGGTTTTCTTTTGTTGGAAATGGACAGCCCAAATAGGAACAGCCACGCCGATGCTGAATGCAGTGAGCACCCCAAGGGTCACCTTCAACTTCTGGTGCGACATCCTGTCCAAGTTGTACATGTGTTTGGCATGAAGGTAGTATGGTTCATCATGGCCGTGTCCACCCATTCTCTTCACTCCGGTTGAGTGGAACCCTCTAGTTCCTGGCAAAGCACAATAGCCACTACTTCTACTTAGTACATGCAATGAAAATAGATCCAGCATTCAAAGTCGAATCAATCGACACCTCAGCTGATTATTATTAGTTAGACATTCAGTCTTTCTCCATTATGGATGGATTGGTGTGGGTCGGTTACAGATTAAAAAAACATGAACTACTAGATGAAACATGCGGTGGAGATTTAATTTCACTGTACTCAATCCTAATTTCCAGAAGCAAATAAGCAAATCAACCAAACTCATATACCAGAAAAACAGCTCAAATAAATTAAACTATTTTGGGCCACTATGAAGAAGCCCATTTAAAATTAAAAAAAAATTTGAAAAAAAACAGAAAACACCAATGGAAATTGAGGTCTCATAGGGATGGTCATTTAAAGTTTATTTTAAAAGCCAGCATTTTGCAACTAAAAGTATGCTAAGATTCATATGCCTTTGAAATTTACTCTCTAAGAGCCACTCATCAGTTGTCGCAGGGTGGCAACATTGTCCTTACTAACAGGACTCTTTTACAAAAAAATATTCATGAGATGATTTCAGCGAATGGGTTCCTTCATGCAAATTATATACTGAGCCTTCTATTCACACCAAGATACCCATTCAATATGAAATTATGCCTCCAATTGGAAAGTAAAATGCTATGACCCACTTGAGTCCATATACCAAAAAATGTGAGTTAGTTCCTGGAATCTTGTTAAAGACAAGTAGTTGGTTGGTACTTGGTTACAAAAATAAAAATTTTGGGACAGTTTCCCGAATAAAACATGAGGGAGAACACGTAAAACCCTGAGGCTGTCCCATAATCACTATTGGCCGGGTGAAATTGAGCACTCGCACACATTCTCAAGCAAGAACCCCTTTGGAACGGCCAAAATTGATTACAAGAAAATATAACACCAGGAAGGCATAGAGATATGTATAAGACCTTTCTTTCACGTAAGAAGATAAAATGGAAGCACCTTCTTACAGGGAAGAAGGGAGAGGAATTACTTTGAGGTTTATCTATGCCCGCATGGGAACACGAGCGCCATTAGAGGCAGTTCGCTCGGTTCTCTAAAAGGCAAAGAGGGAAGTATGAAGAAGGAGAAGTTCTATAACAAGAAGCAGCACAAGCTGTGCATCTTTTGGGCTCGATGTTTAATTCTGAAAATCCTTCTATACATGAAGGTGCATCTTCTGATCTTCCAAATTTTAGGTCAAAGACAATAATTTTTTTAAAACTTGCAACCAAATTCTAGTGTGTTCTCCATAACATTATAAATACTATCAGCCAATCACATTGTTTATACACTTAACGATTTCATGGTATGCAGTGGCATCAAATAAAATAAGCAACAGATGGCATCATAATAACCTGATTTTGATAGAGATGCTTCTGAAGCCCTCACCAACTTTGCGCAGGTCCGGATCCCACCGTTCATGCTCATGATTGAAAGAAAGAACAAGCTCTTGCTTCTTAGTACCTTAATCACCAGAGACACTCGTTGAATTATAAAAAAAATTTACAAAATTTTCCAACAAAAAGAATGCCAATCAAATTCTTAAGACGTGAATGTAATCTAATTGAATTAAAAACATAGTTATCATATTCAGTTCATAATACTTGACCTAATTAAACAATAAAAGACCACGGATCTATAAGAATTTCCAACAAAAACAAATAACCCTATCAAAAAAACGCAATCTTTGAGCTCCGATCGAGCATACTCTCAAGCAATCAAAAACAACATTTACTGAAAATTTTGACTAAAAATTCGCGATTTAACAATTCAATGAAGAATAATGAAAATCAAAGAGGAAGAGCGACTCACAGAATAATGTAGAAGAGAATAGGTGAAATGTTACCTTGTGGAAATGGTGAAACCCTAGGCTATCAGTAAGCTGGCTGTGCGTCGAGAACTCGAGAATATTGAGGCTGGAGACTGGCGACGAGCAATTAAGGAACCCGGGACACAGGTTGTGCTGGGCTTATTTTTAAGCCCAATAATTTTTTGTTTGGGCCTTGAATACGTCTATTTTTTTTATTTTTTTTTATTTTTTTATGCAATTGGTGAATTTTGTTTGAACTCTTTCTAATGTTTTATTTTCAACAAATTGAAAGGATAGGATGATGTCACAATCTACCACTTTAATTTAGGGACCTCCAAATGTCCACATTTCAAGCAAATTACAGGTAAAAAATTTCTACAATTCACTTGTGAATTTAAATGTAGAACGTCTGAATTTATGGTTTATCTCATACTCATACATGATTTGCTTCGACTGCTTCCACTGGACCTCAGCTCAAATTCTTTCAGCTTATGGACAGGGTTTAATAATAAATTTGCTACTGTACTTAGACTTGAGATTTATTAATTCTCTCGTACGTCAAACTTTAGCCTAACCATCAAGTGTGGTCATCCACTCCTCCCTGGTCAAGTGGAAGTATTGAAGTTGGGTTGCCACGCTTTGTAGGTGTGACCTTTGAATGGAATATTCAGAATGCTCAAAGAAACTTCCCTTTTTGTCAAACTATTTGCTTGATGAATACATGCCCATTATGAGAGGCAAATAGGCAACCGTCATCCTTATTATTGTTTGTACAAACTTGAATCAAACAATAACTTGAACCAAAAAGTGTATTATATGTGTAATTTATATGCTTAACTTCGTAAACGATTGTAATAAATGCCCAAGCAAAAGTAGAATTGAGTTTCGAGTTTATCTTTTTCGAATTCTTAAATCAAAATTAACTTTTAACTCAAAAAGTAAATGGGATAAAATGATCTTTTACCTATTTCTACGACTAATGTAATCACAAATAAATTATCACAATGAAAAATCGTAGTCGTAATCACAAACAAATTATCACAAAGAAAAATCGTAACTATGATGATTGAGAGTTAGGTAAAGAGGAAATGCACTCACCAGATTGAATAATTCCTCCACCCACAATGAAGGTATAGAAATCACCAAATGTAGCCGTGGAAACGTGAGGAATAGCAAAGCCATCAATCTATGCATAGGTGTTGACATCTAAATTTAAAATAACATGTAGCTGTTGTTGGCAATTTAGCTTTGACTATATGACACAAGTATTAGCATATTATTAATTGGAGAGGGCACATGCTTCATATCTCTGTATTTTGGCCTTAAAAACATGCTACACAACACTTGTTCCATTATAGAAAGTTAGACTAATAATTGCATCATGCTCATTGTATTACCTTCAGCAGCATTTTTGAATATGGGACTGCTTTTTTTGTAAGTGCGTTCAGCAAAATCACTTTTATTATATGAAAAAGTAAAATAAAAAATATTCACGTGCTTGCTAAAGAAGCATATAGGAGGGAAGAAATACTTCTAAATTTTTATGCTAAACAATGTCAAAAGCGTTTTTAATTGTTCAAAAATATTTTTAACTCCTCTAATGTAAGCTTGGTCCGTTCATTTGAAATTCTCATGCTTCAAAGCAGCCAAAAAACGGGTCGGGTTTAAATCCAAGAAAACGGATCTTGACGAGTGGCGTAACTGGCGTGGAGACGACGACTTGAAACGAACGCCATGGCCAACAAGGAGACATAAAGTCGCATACAAAGTTACAAGACTCCTCCATGCCTAACCTTTCTTTCTTTCTTTCTTATATTTTTTAACGGTCCAAAACTCAACTGTACAAAAATGGACCCAACACGCCTAAAAGCAAAAGAAAATTCAAACCCAATTCCACCTTATAAATTCACACCGTCTCTCTCATTCACAAGTCACAACCAGCTTCGTCACCACTTCTCTCTCTCTTCCCCTCTCTCTGTGTCACAGAGAAACTAAGAGAGAATGAAGAACCGAAGCTCCAGAAAGATATCCGCAACATGGATTCCCATTTTTTGCATCCCAGCTTTCCTCCTCGGCATGCTCATCACAAGCAGGTTCCATTTTCAGCTTTCGGATTTTAGTTTTGGTTGAATCCGTGTTATGGGTTTCTCTCTCTTTTGCTTTTAGTACTGAAACGAATTTTGGGTTTTGATGGTAGCAGAATGTGGGTAGCACCTGAATCCAATGGTCAGCTCATTTCCACTCGTCGCCAGGAGCAAGAGCTTCAAATCGTCTCAGAAGATTGCGCAACTAAGAAGGTAACAATTAATTGCTCAGAAATTCCAAACCCTTTTGTTTAAATTTGAATATTCTTTAAAAAGAATTTTGTTGCTATTTACAGAAGCCTGGACAAGAAAAGGATGTAATGGACGAAATTTACAAAACCCATGCATCAATTCAGTGAGTGCAAACACTTGAGTTCTTGTTGTGATTTTGTTGGACTTGGGTTGCTTTCTTTTTGTTGCAATTGCAAGGATTTGTACTATGCACTAACTATCTTGCTAACTTATTGTGAATTTTGCGGAGGCTTGCCAGATCTCTAGACAAGCAGATGGCATCAATTCAGATGGAGTTGGCAGCAGCTCGGAGTTCCCAGGAGATGGGCACCTCGAGTGGCGCCGGCGGCAACTCGCAGTTGTCTAAGGACAGTCCAACGAGAAAGAAAGCATTCATTGTTATTGGAATTAACACAGCTTTTAGTAGTAGGAAAAGGCGAGATTCAGTTAGAGAGACTTGGATGCCTCAAGGTACCATAGCTCCGTTATTCTTCTGTGTGTAAATAAGATCTATTAATTCTATGGGACTGCTTGTTGAAAATGCCTGAATTGTTTGGCCAGGGGAAAAGCTACTACAATTGGAGCGCGAGAAGGGGATTGTAATCCGTTTTATGATTGGCCACAGGTATGGAACAATTCTATTAAAGTCGTATAACTGCAGCCTATGGAATTGAAATTTGATGTGGCAATTTTGACGTACCATGACATTTGGATACTCGTACTTTACAGAGTAGAATATTTTTTGAGAAATCAGCACTTCTCCAAGAGAGCTAAGAAATTAAGAAATGCATTAGTATAGTCGTTCAGTGGTAAAATTTCCTGGTGGCAATAGATTGCTCATGTTGTGAGAACAAGTTCAGAATCACATGTTGCCCTTACTTTAGATTTAAGTCAACATTTTAGATATTGAGACTTGCAGTTTAGATAAAAAGTTTCTTTTGCTAATTTAAAAACATTATACTGTGCAGTATGATCTACTTGTTGCTTATTTTGTGGGTACAAGTTCTGGATCACATGCTTCTCTTACTTTAGATTTTATCAATATTTTAGATATTAAGACTTGCAATTTAGTTGTAAATTTTCTTTTGCTGAAGTAACCCTATACTGCATGCTGTATGATCTACTGGTAAAGTTGGGCCTTATATCGTCTCTCACCATTCTGGGGTAACTATGACGTGCCATAATCTTTCTCCTCTGAAAGGAATATGAATATGGAGAATAGGAATATATACAGAATAGATTATATCTATAAAGAGAGGCCAGAGCATGGTTTTTGCTCATGTATAGCACACAGTGATAGAGGATAAGTTATTAAAATGGTGTTCTGTTTTCATTCTGAAACTAAACTGGGTGATATCTGCATAATTCATACAGTGCAACATCCAACAGCATTTTAGATCGAGCCATTGATTCGGAAGATGCTCAACATAATGATTTCCTCAGGCTGGTAAGAGTGTAGACATAAAACTTTGTACCTGTGGAACTATGAGGAATTTGGTCTCATTCATTTTTGCACTGTAGGAACATGTTGAAGGTTATCATGAATTGTCTGCCAAAACGAAAATTTTCTTCACCACTGCACTTGCAAATTGGGATGCTGATTTTTATGTCAAGGTGGATGATGATGTACATGTCAATTTAGGTATGCAATGCTGCTGTAATGCTCATATTTTCGACTACTATAAAGATATGAATATTGTTACCACGGATGAGTTTCTTACATGTCTTGCTTGTATAGGTATGCTAGCTACAACTCTTGCCCGTCACCGTTCAAAACCTAGAGTCTACATCGGGTGTATGAAATCTGGACCTGTTCTTGCTCAAAAGTAATTGTCCTGATGCATTTATAGATAAGTTACTCTTCAATTTACATGTTCCCTCAGGGAGGAGATATTAATCTTCTACTATTTTCTCTATTTTCTAGGAATGTTAAGTACCATGAACCAGAGTACTGGAAATTTGGAGAGGAGGGAAACAAATACTTCCGACACGCAACTGGACAGATTTATGCACTCTCAAGGGATCTAGCTACATACATCTCCATCAACCAGTAAGAATACATTATATTATCGTTTCTTTTTCATCGAATAGAAGTAGTATTACTATTAACCTTGTGTGATACAGCATTGAGTGTCCTGTACTAGATTTTGAAATTTGGCATATTTGTGTTGGAGATAAGAAATACATTAAATTGTTCACCTGCATCAGCAAAAATACACTAAGACATTGAAGATTGCAACCATCTTTAATCTTAGCTTTGATAATACCAAAAAAAGGGGGGATTATTTGACCTTTCAAACTGTTGTTTTATCATTGGTTTGAAATTTGAGATTTGGGAATCGGATATGGGTCTAGATAAAAATGAATGGCCTGAAAGCACTGGTATTTTTGGCCACCTTGGCCTACAGGTATTAAAGAGATTAATTCACGTGTCCATAGTTAATAAAATCTTAAAGTACATGTTACTTTCTGCAAAACATGATGAAGTTCTGAGACATCCTGTTTTTTATTGCAGGCCAATATTGCATAAGTATGCCAATGAAGATGTGTCGCTTGGTTCATGGTTTATTGGTTTGGAAGTCGAGCACATTGATGACCGCAATATGTGCTGTGGGACTCCACCAGGTACTGTTTTTAGAACAAATATGTGATTAGTGGATCTTGCATCCAAATCTGAAGAAACAATTGTAGCTTTTCGAATATTAATAATGGGATGTGGTGCATATTTGCTACCCATTAGATGAGACATGTTAAAATTGATCCCGCTCAACAGATTTACATTTCCTTTTCGGAACTTATAATTTGGTAAATCTGTCTGTTGCTGGATTTATTTTAATTTAGTTGAATCCTCTGCAGATTGTGAGTGGAAGGCACAAGCAGGTAATGTGTGCATTGCATCATTTGATTGGAGCTGCAGTGGCATCTGCAAGTCAGTGGAGAAGATTAAACATGTTCATGAAAAGTGTGGTGAAGGGGATGCAGCTGTTTGGAGTTCATTATTCTAAATCAGTTCACGTTGTAGGGGCCTTTCTTGCCAAAAAAAAGTGTGTAAAAATTGTTTAATTTCACTTCAAGTCCAGTTTTGAGAGTGTAGATGGAAATAGCATTGCAGATGGATATGATACACATTTCTAAGACATTGCTTCTTGAACTTTTGGGGAAGACGTGAGAGCTGGTGATCTGGTGCTTAAGTTATGCGGAAGCTGTTCAGTCGAAGTGTTGGCGATTGCATGGATGTGAATCTGAAAATACTGTTTGTGTTCAAAGATATCTTCCGATTGTATTTGCGTGTAGGAGGGTGTTTATACGAAATGACAGCTCTCGCGTGTATGAGGGTATTTATACGAAATGACAGTTATTGTGATATAGTTTTACGTAGGATCAAAATGTTTTCTTGTAATGTGGGTATTATTTGCACCAGGCCGAGTGTGTACCCCAGTAGCAGGAGCAACCTTTTTCATTTAATGTTGTATTCTTCCACTAATCCACAGGAATTACTTGTAATACAAAACACAGAAAATACATTGCTTTCGCTGCTGCTTTCATGTTATGTGACGAGGGCTGGGGTTTATTTTTCACGTCATTGGTTTTATGATTTTTTTGCCTTCACTTCCAAAGCACTATCAAACGTGCACTGACACGCTTTAGAATAATTGATTATGCATGTGGTACAATAAAATGAACTGTTTTAGATTTGGGATAACCTTCAGGTGAATGTTTCTTTTGTGTCTGAAGCCAATATGGTCGGTAAAAGTCAATAGCTTCTTATGGCTTTTGACATCAGAACATGTAGGCTTGCATTCTAGTGATTTTTTATTTTTTGTTGCTGTTGTTGTTGATACAAATACTCTATATATGACATGGTTGAGCCTTAAAAAGCATAAAAAAGAGATTCATCGTTGTCAGAAAAAGCTTTTATACTTATGTAAGGGTTAAAAGCGTTCCTAATTGCTTTTGGCAGAACAATTTAAAAGCGATTTCTGGAGAAATACCTAGTAAACACTTACTAGATTTTTAACAAAAAATAAGATGTTTTGTCCATAAAAGTGCTTCTAACAAAAGCCGCCCATAAAGAGTCAACATCCAAGCCTGCCAGGTAAGCCCAACCCCAAGGCCCAAAAACAACTGGCTGCAACCGCGATATCCATCCATCATCCAGAATCCAGTTGGATCATCAATTTTCTTAAGTCGGGCCCCGAAAACTCAAAACTCAGCAATTTACAGAAGTGTTAAGTAACTTTGGACTTTTGTCATCCGATAATCAAATACGTACATCCACTCCATCGCAGCTTAATTAGCAATTGGCTTTTGAACTTGAAAGTGGTCAGCTCTCATCTCTCATCATCGCCGTAGAGCTGAGATTTTGGAGGAATCGGACGGTGGTGGAGAATGGAGAACGCCGATGTGTTCTTGGGCCTGCAGGACTTTCTTGAACGAATGCGTCAACCGACGGCCGCTGATTTCGTCAAGTCCATAAAAAGGTAAAGTGGATTTTGAGATCTTGGATTATTTGTTTCTGCAGTAAGAATCTCTTATCAGAGTTGTGAATTGAGTGCGAGAAAGGTGTTTGATGTTTGTTTTGCATTGAATTGAACTGGGTTGGTTTGGATTGGATTGCAGTTTCATAGTATCGTTTTCGAACAATGCTCCTGATCCAGAGAGGGACAGTGCTGCGGTGCAGGACTTCTTTGCCCAAACGGAAATGGATTTTAGGGCTCATCCACTTTGGGCTGGTTGTTCAGAAGAGGAGCTCGACAGTGCTGGCGAAGTGAGTTTGAGTTTGATATTAACTAAATGCTTAGCATTTTAGTTTTGCTTGCATATATGAATGATCATGAATTAATTGTCAAGAGGGATTAAGTGAAAGGCTAAAGCATCATTGCTTAAGTGGGTGTTTGTTGTTGCAAGCACAGCAACTCATCTTCTTCTGCCCCTTCTAGTTTTTACCGGGGAAGAAGAAACATGTCTTAATGAAACTTTAAATATGAAATAAAAGAAAACCGAAATTGAAACTGAACACATCAAAGAGAACCTCACACTCCCTTCTGGCAGTGTAGAATGAAGATTTATGAAAATGTAAAAGATATTGTACTTCATACCTTCTTGTATAATGTATATCATTCTTCTTTGAGGAACTCTGTAGTTTTTCTTTCATCTTCTAGGACCTGTATTATTTTAGCATATCTCTCCCTCTCAGATGGTTTTTTTTTTTCCTTTCTAATACTTTATGTTAATATGTGATATGTCTTATTGATGTTGTTGGCATTTTGTTTTTCTTGGATTCTGTTAAATACAGGGACTGGAGAAGTATGTCACGACAAAGTTATTTCCTCGTGTATTTGCTTCCGTTCCGGATGATGTAAAACTTGATGACCAACTGTATGAGAAGATGGCTTTAATACAACAATTCATTCGACCAGAGAATTTAGATATTAAGCCCACATTTCAAAATGAAACATCATGGCTGGTGAGTAAAGGACTACACATATCAAATATGTATATAGATATATATAATATACATATCAAATATGTATAAATAAAGTATGTATAAAGAGAGAGAGAGAGAGAGAGAGAGAGATCCTTAAATAAAGACACGGACATAGCTCTCAATCGAGATGCATTGATTTGCATATGAGTTGTCTCTATTTGTTAACAGTTCCTTGTTTAAGGAGCTTTTTTGAGAAAAATTAGACCCACATGTTGACAGGTATTGAAAAGGAAATAGCAATCAGGATAGTGCGGGATTTCACAAAATAGAGATCAATTCCCCCTATTTCCTTCCTTCTTGTGGTGTGAACTAACTGTCTTTTCATGTTCGGGAATTAATGTGTCAACTTTTCTAACTTATGATTGAACTTTTTTTTTCTTGGTTGTTTTTTCTTTTCATGAGAATGCACATAGGATTGCAAATATTTTTTCTGACTTCTGTAATCTTAGACTTAATCATTGTTGGATACCTCTCATTAAATCCTTACCAATGTATTTTTTTGTTGCTTTTATCTTTTCAGCTTGCTCAGAAAGAACTGCAAAAGATCAATATGTACAAGGCACCCAGGGATAAGCTTGTGTGTATCCTCAATTGTTGCAAGGTTATCAATAACTTGTTGCTGAATGCTTCTGTTGCTTCAAATGAGAATCCCCCAGGAGCTGATGAATTTCTTCCCGTCCTAATTTATGTTACTTTAAAGGTATGGCAAACTTTATATAATGTCCTGATTTATTTGATTAAAAATTTACTTCTGAAGCAATACATATCATCGTCTATTCTAAATAAACTATTCAATTTATTTACCACTGGAGGTGCGTTGCGTTCTTCAATTGTAGAAGGGACCAGAGTATGTCATGTTTACAAAGTTGCTCTATTTAAATGATGATGCAGGCAAACCCTCCACAACTGCACTCAAATTTATTGTACATACAAAGGTACAGGCGCCAATCTCGATTAGTTGGTGAAACAGCCTATTTTTTCACAAACATGCTCTCTGTGGAGTCCTTCATCTCAAATATTGATGCAAAATCCATTTCAATGGATGAAACTGAGTTTGAAAAGAACATGGAAACTGCTCGAGCACTTCTTTCAGGACTTTCAACTGATTTGGACGGTCAGTATAATCAAAGCAGTCAATATGCAGGATATGTGCATAGATCAGAATCGATGGAACCCAGACATCAACCTTTGAATGCCAACAAGGATTCTGCACAACCCAAATCTTCTGAAAAAAAATCCCGAGCGAAAAATATACCCTATGGTGCAAAAGATAATTTATCCTTTTCGAAAATTCCATCCCTTTCAGATTTGGAGGATAAGGGCGCGACAATCCTTGTAAATGATGATAAGGCGAGCCAGGTCTTCCGGGAGTATCCATACTTGTTTGCGCATGTTGGTGATCTAACACTCAATGATGTAGAAGACCTCCTTAATAATTACAAACAACTTGTTTTCAAGTATGTTTGTCTTTCCAAAGGGTTAGGCGTTGCTGCTCCATCTCTTCCTGTATCAAGTTCACAAACAGAGTTCCACCAGCATGCTGAAATGGAAAAGCAACAGGATCACTCTAGAGCTATAGAGCCTAATGATGAAGTATCAAATGATATTAATAGGAATGATGGTTCTCTAGAGCCTAATGATGAAGCATCAAATGATACTAATAGGAAGGATGATGGTTCAAATAAAGAGCCTGTTATCGATTTGGATAATTTGCAATCCCTATTGTCACAGGATCAAGTAGTTGCACCACAGGGTGGTAAACACGAGGAGTCTTCTTAATAACAGCTCTACTAGGACTTGTATTTTGCAGGAGTATGTTGAATTTCCAACTCGATGGTCACCATCAGGGCTCTTCTTCTCCTTTTTTTTCCTGATGTAGATGGACTACCATGGTGACTACTTTTGGTTGGCAATGAGTACTAACATTTGCCTGTCCTTGTCACGTAATGGTGAAAACATGGGACAGAATTGAGGAGTTTAACATCTGGGCAATGCATCAAATAGCAATTGTATGAACTGTGAAGATGCGAAAATATACTCCTCTCAGCAAGCCAGCATGCAACAGTGTATGCTTGTGGGCACTTAAAATTCACGTATGTAGCAATATAATGATCCCGGGACACATGGGAGCTTGCTGAGCCTCGAGAGGAATGCAATTTTCGCCAAAGTTGCACCTTGCTATCCTTCATTAAGGTGCAGAAGTTTGTGTTCTAAATCTATGTCATGTGTTCTTTTCTCTGTAGCGTCACTCCTGTACATATACAGAAGTCTTCTAACGTTACTGCGAGTTTCTTCATTTTTTGCATTCTGACTAAATTGGCTGCTCTGGCAGTTTAGTATATGATATATCTGACCATGGCTTGAGGTTGTGGCTTGTCCACAATGACAGAGGACAAAAACAAATGCTTGTTCGGTTTTAAGTGAAACTCTTTTCTACTCAATACCTGTGGTTGGCTTCATGGCTAATCTTGGTGCAGGAGATAGTTTGTCCAAGCTGAGCTGTGGGCTCTGTGTCATGTGTCTTAAGCTTGCCCGACATAACCAAATTTCCATTCTTTTGGTTGAGGTGGATTCAGCTATTATCTCAACTCTTCTTGTTAAAGGGAGATTTCAGCTCTTCTCCACCCTCTCCTTGTCTGAGGGAATGTAGCTGCTGATCGTTTAGCCAATTTGGGCCTTCATATTGTCTTGGGCCTCTAGCTTCCGTGAGTTGATCAGCCACATTAAACCCAAAAGTCACAAGTCAAGACTAATCCCTTGAAAATTGAAACCAATCTGTTATTGTATGCCACATATGTATTCTCACATCATCAGGAAAGGAAGTTCAGAACATTGATGTTGATTGTGGGTTTTTGTTCTGATGTAATGTAAACCATATTTTCCACGTGCTGCTGTGTTTTATCTCCTTCTTCCAAGCTTTGTAGATAAAAATGCCGTACATATTGACTTTCACATACCAAAACCATCTTCAAGGAAAGAAGCAATTGGAAAAGAGCTGCGGCAGCTGAATTATGAAATCACATTATTATATGCTTACGTTCTCTCTGTATTGATAAGATTTTGAATAGGCGTCCCGAATTCAAGT